AGGCCGCTCGCACCACACCAGGTTGGATGCGATAAGCCGAAAACCTCCGGAAGGACGGAACCGACGTACCCGGGGGAACACGGAACCGAACCCGGGGAGGGGCCGACACCAACTCCAACTCGTACGCAGAGGGGGGAAAAGAAAACCCCACTCCTTGTAACAATAAGCCCCGCTCAGTGGGAAGAAAAACCCAGGCGGGGTCCAGCGGGGCCCAAGGCCTCCAAGTCAGCCCCTCCCCAGCCTCGAGGTCCTTCACCACAGGACCCGAGGCCGAGTCCTCTCCCCAAGCCCCGATCCCACAAGACAAGGACGGAGCAGCCGGAAAAGCTGGAGGAAGGGGGGCCCACTGGTCAGACCCTGAAGCTTCGGCTGGGAGACAAGACTCGAATGCCTCTGCCGCCCCCCCGGAAGGGGCACCCCCTGAAGCTGCCCAGGTCTCGAGATCAAGTAACCCCTGCTCCGACCCCAAAACCCTCAGACACTTCGGGGCCGGAAGCAGGGGCGGGGGGACCAGAACGAACAGAAGGGGAAGGATGAGGAGGTGCAGACTGAACCAGGATCGAAGCGACCCCCACCCCCAAGTCCGGGTCTCGAAAAGCAAAGCGGGGCAGCCCCGGGGCATCCGGGGAAGCAACCAACCGAGCGCGTTGCAACAGACGAAACCGAGACTGCAACGCACGCGCCGCCTGTACCCGAATAGAATCATCAGAGGATTGGGTAAATTGAGTCACAAGCAAGCAGCAACACTCACAGGACTCAGGGTCGAAAGTATCACCGACCCAACAGGCAGGGTGGCAGAGGCAAAAACAATGAGGGTCACCCTGAGACAAGGAGACCGAGCAACCCTCAAACTCGCACACAGCGAGTGGGGACTCCGGGGTCACATCCATCGGACCCACGCGCTCCCTAGGGGATTCCCAGGGTCCTGAGCGTTTACTTTAAGAGGACTCGCGCTCAGGTAGTCCCAGGCAGGGTGCTGCAAACCGGCACCCAAAACTACCAAGCAAACTTCTAAAGCTGAACCCCAGGGACGTGTACACTCACGGGGACCTAGCAGGGGGCGCCACCGAGGAGAACAGTGGAAGGGCAAAAACAAACTGAATAAAACAAACTGAATAAAACGACAGAACCCCCCACCAGGCAAAAACAAAAAGAAAAACAAAACCCCGCAAGAGGACAGCGAACCCCAAGGAACAGAGCCGGCCGCGATGTCGGGAAATACAAGCTGAGCAGCACCCTGCGCCCCTACCAGTGCAAACTGCCTCTTACCTGCCGGTAACAAGGGAGAACAGAACACCCAAGAGCCCAACAGGCGGCCGAAAAACCGAAAGGTAAAACGGACCAGCAGAGGCAGACCCCGAGGAGCCTGTGGAAGGTGGCCCCAAGCCCCAAGGGCAGTACTTACAGGGCACCTAGGGAAGGCAGCCCTAGGCGCATGCAGCCCGAGTACTGAAGATAACTCCTGGCTCTCGCACCCACAAAACCAACACCACACGCAAAGCACAGTGCAGTAGCGACACCGGAGCCAGAGCACACGACCATCGCCTATAGCATCAGCCTCAAGAACTGAGGTGTGGGTAGCCGGCGCGGGGGGTCTGGGGCTCCCTCTTCCCCTTCCCGGGGAGGGGGGAGCTGCGCAGACAGCGGCGCGGCGGTGTGTGACGTCACACTAGTTTGCTTGTTTTCGGTTGGGGAGTTCTATCCACTAGTTCGGTTTTTGGTAGCAATTTTAACCAGAATAGGGGTTTGTTTTGAGGCGCTTACCTTTCTGGGTGCCTGTTCCGGTCGATGGCAGATATAGAATGCTTCCAACCACACGGGGGCTTCTATAGGCCATTGCTCCCCTTGCCTCTCTGAGGGGGCCCGGTTCTGGCCGTGGTCCCCGGTAGGCCTAAGAACTCCATACACATGACTGATGCCAAAGTCTGACATTAGCATATCAGCCTGGGATAGCTCCGGGGAGCCGACGGGGCTCCCCCCAGAAAAATAACTAATTTCATCTTCGTAGTTTCCTACAACGAGCTTTAAATTTGCTCTGTATCTAGTGTTACCCAATCTCCCAATCTTTATGTACTTAACCCAAACAACTTTATCATTGTGTTCATTGCCGTCTTCTTTTATGTGATAGCCATATGCTGTATTGTGCCTACTAATTTTTGTTAAACTACCATTCAAGCTGTCATTGCAATCAATCTGAGCTACCTATGTGCTTTATCATACCTACAATTTTCCTCTTATCTTTTATTTTTTTTTCTTGCTATGTAACTTATCATTTTTATAAATTTTGCAAGTATTTACCTACTTAAAATTTTCTTAGATTAAGGACCTGCCCGAAACGCTGCGTGTACTAGTGGCTTTACAAGAATGTAATTACTATCCTATTTATCCTCACAATCCCAATGTACCTTCTTATATATATATAAATAAGTAAATAAATAAATAAATAAATAAATCCCGATGCAAGACTCATGAGAAGTGACACCTCAAGATCCGGAAAATGCCAAGTGCCAGGGTAAGCCAGGAAAACAGGAACCCAAACCTGGCAAGCCAGGAATTACAGTAACCAAACACAGGGGCGGTGCAAAAGCAGGAAACAGAATATGGACAAAGTCCAACCTAGCCCCCTACTCAGAGAGAATCCCAGCAACATCAGAGGCCCGAGACTCCACAACACATAAGGGGCAAAACAGGCCGTCCCCTCACAGTGACGAAGAGAGAACTGGATCAATACCTCCAAAAGGTACCTGAACAACCAGGCTGTAAGCAATACGGCAGGCTGCACACAGCAGCGTCAAACAGCCTGTGTGACCAATCCAGCAACGAGGAGGGCCTGCGGGCCGCTCCAAGCAACAGCCTAGTAGATCAAACTCTCACAAGTCAAGCCTGGCCTCGGGCCGGGCTTGGGGAGTAGAAGAACTCCCAGAACCCCATCAACCAGGTATCAACCAGGTCGACGACCAGGCTGTGGGGAAGCCAAGCCTCGGGAACACCGCAAGGGAACCGCAAGGCAGCAGTAGGTGTCAAGAAGCACTGATGAGTAACCCGACAAGCAAAACAATCCAACTACCCCTCACATAATACCCTGCAGGTCAATTGACCTGAAGCAGATACAGGAGAACAATCCATAGGGACTAGTTAAACAGCCCCGGCACCAGCAGAGAGGGACATGAGCATTGAAAGAAGATGAGGAACGAGGAAGACAGGCAGCAACAGGAACTAAAAAGACAGGACCAACAACACAGAGGCCATGTCTATGTCAGGCGAACGACAGCCGAAAAACGGGACCAAAAAGCCAAAGCTCAACCCCGGCAAGCGCAGCTAGGTAAGGACATCTAGGTAAGCACTGAGAATCCAATGTATATGGAAGGGCTAACCCAGACACTGTAAGAGAGGCAAGGAAAAAGTGACCACGAAAAAACGGGGCCGTGACCCACCATGTAACAAACAACACAGACGAACAAGGAAGGCCCCAGGAAGAAAATTAGGGTAGAGGCAAAGGAGCAGCCCCACACCCACATGCAGGGAAATCCCAGCGTCCTCCCCATAACGGCAATCCAGAACATCCCCCAGCATCTATGGGGCACGGACTGGAGAAACGAGAGGAGCGAGAGAGGCGAAGCACCCGAGAGAACAAGGACGCGGAACACCAGCACTTGTGTACACCATCCACAACAAAACAAACTCCCACGGCGTATGCGCAGGGCGCATGAAGTCCGAACCGCACAACCCTGCCCAGCGAAGAGGGCACCAACAAGGAGTATCGCAAAATATTAGCAGTGCCTAGACAGAGCACGGAGAGAAGATAAAATGACAAAAGAATGAGACAGTATAAAAAAACAAGAAGCACGGAAGCGGATCAACAAGTCCAAAAATGACCGGAGGTAAGCCTCACTGGAAGACGACAGATGTTCCAATAATGCGGGAAAAATTGAAGACCTTCCTCAACCCCCGAGATCTCACAGAAGCAAACAATATCACGAAGGCTCCGAAAGGCAGTCGCACCCGGGACCAAAAGTCATGCAGAAACCCCAATAACAGAGTAACATGACCCCTCCATGACAGAGAAGTCCCGCCCCAGAGAAAAGGGGGTAGAAATGGAGAAAGGTACCCACCGAAAGAACGGAACTGAACGGACCCGAAGGGACAAGGATCCGAATCCGGGGAGGGGCCGATGCCCAACAACTCTAAGCACAGTGCTGAAAATCACTGGAGCCAGAGCATACGACCTCTACCTCTAGCATCAGCCTTAGAACAGAAGGGTGGATAACCGGCACAAGGGTCTGGGGCTTCCCCTTTCCGGGGAGGGGGGAGCTGCGCAGACAGCAGCGCGGCGACATGTGACGGTCATGCTTGTTTGCTGGTTTCTCTTTGGGAAGTTCTATCCACTTGTTTGGCTTTTGGTAGCAATTTTCCCCAGAATAGGGGTTTGTGAGGGAAGATGGGATGGAGAGATAAGGAATGGTTCCCAACCACTTGGACGGTTGGGGACAAAGCCACTAACACGCATAGTCTGAAATGCTATGCGTGTTAGTGGCTTTGCAAGAATGTAAAAAAATATCACTAATGTACTCTCACCAACCCATTGCACCTTCTTGTAAGTAAAATAATATTATTATTATTAGTTCATTTTTCTAAAAGGTAAGGTAATTATGAGGAGAAAGCACTAGGTCAGTGTGACCATATAGCACTTGGAAGGGATACGAAGACAGGATGAAGGAATGGTGCCCAATCATTTGGACAACTGGATCAAACATTGACCCTGCAAGAATCAAGTTTGTTGTTCTACCAACCCGTCCAAATGATTGATTCTCAGTCACAACTAAAAATATAAAAATTTGTCTAAAGACTATTCCACTCCTTATAAACTATCTTGACTACATTTGCACTATTTATGACCAATACATAATCATTTCCACTCCTTATATATTATATCTTATATAGAATCAAAGAAATGTTTTACATTTAAGAATCTTAACTACAGGAACATAATCAAATATTACCTCTGGTGTAATGTTGACAGGGGGAGCAGAAGGTCTTGGTGCACGACCTGCTGGGTGCTGAATTGGAACAGTATAATCATCTTCTAAAATAGCTCCAGCTGGCAAGTGCCGTCCTCCAGGACCATCACTCAGTGGTGACAGTGGTGGAGACGCATAAATTGGTGAAGCTGGCTCATCTAAGGGAGTTAGAGCTGGCTGAGGTGGCGGGGGATGACGACGACCACGTCCTCGACCACACTGTTGAAGCTGCTGTGTAAAACTTAAGACTGGAGACATGGCAGATACTGGTGGTGCAGATGGTGCAGGCGGTGGTGGAGGTTGCTGTTGATGTAAGTGATGATGAGCATGAACCTCACGGGGCGTGGGAGCTCTGGGGCCACCTGAAGATCGAGTAGAGGTAGTGAGATTGCCAGAAGACTTGGAAGAAGAATGCTGTCCAAGAGAAGCTACTGACCGACGTTTTTCAAATGTAGATTCAGGTGATTCAGCTGGAGAAGCTGCAAGACCTGGGCACAATAAGGCTGAGCAAGGTTTTGTTTCTGCTGTTGAACCTGAGCCTACTGAAGAGGATGCTGCCATTCCCCGTGGAACACCGCCTTGCTGTTGCTGTACAGCCATACTCTCCTCTAGCATACGAGCAAGATGGATATGGCCACCTTTCAAAGCTACTTTAATGGCAGTCCGTCCACACCGATCAGAATGTGCTGGATTTGCACCATACTGAAGAAGAGCTGCAACACTTTCTTCGTGACCTTCTTGTGCAGCAATACTTAAAGCTGTAGCACCTTGTGAGCAAGTGTGGTCTACTGTGGCACCACGTTCCAGTAACAATCTTACAACTTCTGCATGGCCTTGCCACGCAGAGCTCTGTAATGGTGTTCGCCGTTCTCGGTCAACAGCATCAACATGAGCACCACCGTCCAGTAAGAGCGCTACCATTCTGGTATGACCCTGCCATGCTGTCACATGCAGGGGTGTGCGACCCTCAAGATCAGTACTCTCAACATCTGCATTATTCTCCATTAAAAATTTTGCCATATCAAGTCGATTTTCAAGAGCAAGAAGGTAGAGCGTGGATCGACCATCAGCATCTTTGTAATGAAGATCAGCACCTCTACATAGCAGGAGATGCACAACATCTTTATGACCCTCCAGTGCTGCTACACGCAAGGCAGATCGTCCATCATGACTTGTGTGGTGAATATCTGCTCCAGCATCCAAGAGGGCTGCTACCACTGCTGTATGGCCCTCTTGAGCAGCCAAGACTAATGCATGCTTTCCATCATTGTCCACCTCATTAACTCGTGCTCCAGCTTCCAAGAGGGCTTCACATACACCACAATGTCCCTCAAATGCTGCATAATGCAATGGTGTCCAGCCTGCATTATCTCGATGAGTTTCATCCAAGCCTCTATCAAGTAATAAGCGTACAGTCTCCTGGAAAAAATAGGCCAAGAGTTAAAAGCTAGCATTCACTATAGCGAAACACCTTTTTCTGGTTAGGCTTGGGTGACTCCCTGAGGCTATCTGCACCGAGAGACCTCCATCACATGATTTACATCAGTCCCAGGAATCCTTAAGAGCCTACCAGAGATCATAGCCATAACCTGGTTTATGCAAAGAACCACAGGGGATTGTTACAAATACCCGTCACCATGGAAACATCCAGAAAGTAAGCAAAGCAAAACAGACAACTGCAAGTTCACAAAGAAACAAAAATTGAACTAGCAAACAACTCCATTAACCCCTAAACTGCGCAACGCGCCTGCAGGCCCTCAATGGGGGTGCGCAACGTGCCTCTGGGTACTGTATTTATATTTTAGCGTTCCATTCAAAACTCCCGCAGCTACATGGGGTTCACAGCAGCTTCCTCAGGGCTCTTGTAAACAGACGCCATCTTTAAAAGAAATCGTGGGCCACATTCCTGGATATGAGAGCCTCAGTACTGAGTGAGCAACCAAGGCCGGCGCACGCAGCATAAGCTCACAACACTGCTGTTCAGCTTGTGACCACAGCATCTCCTAATAATGTCAATATATATATAACTTGTATTATTTAGCCATGATAGTATTACAGAAGAGCCTGAGTGTGATAATGACTGTGTACAATGTTCAAATATCAGTGATTTAATGCTGTTTACGATGTTCACAGTGCTAGCCACAGCACCACAGCATTATTATAATCACCACGTTCATCTAGGAATCTTCAAACGACTTCTTAGGTTCCTTTACAAAATAAACTTGTGGTCAATTATTCATTAACAGGATTTAGTGATCAGGATTGTGATAATAGCAGGATTGTGGTGATAATTAGCGCTGTGCGTAGTATTGTGGGAGGAGGAAGTTTGGTGATAATCCAGATAGTGTCACTGTGTAATTACCTAAATGTAATAACCTAAGTGTAGTTACAGGATGAGAACTATGCTCGTGATGTCCCATCTTCCTAGCACTCTTTGTCATATAACGCTTTGAAACTACTGACGGTTTTGGCCTCCACCACCTTCTCACCTAACTTGTTCCAACCGTCTACCAGTCTGTTTGCGAAAGTGAATTTTCTTACATTTCTTCGGCATCTGTGTTTAGCTAGTTTAAATTTATGACCTCTTGTTCTTGAAGTTCCAGGTCTCAGGAAATCTTCCCTATCGATTTTATCAATTACTGTTACTATTTTCTATGTAGTGATCATATCACCTCTTTTTCTTCTGTCTTCTAGTTTTGGCATATTTAATACCTCTAACCTCTCCTCGTAGCTCTTGCCCTTCAGTTCTGTGGCAGCCACTCTTGTTTTGGTCACCATACTAGCTTAGTGGTTCGCTCTGGTGAACACACATGTACATGGGTATATACAATGTGTGTATATACCCATGTACATATGTGCGTAGTATTGTGGGATGAGGAATTTTGGTGGGAGGGAGATCGACGTAGCGTCACTGTGTGTGGCAGCCACACTTGTTATGCACATCATACTAGCTTCATGGTTCGCTATGGTGAATACATATGTACATGGGTATATACAATGTGTGTATGTAGTGTAATAACGGCAACAGGAGTATGTTGAGAGGAGCTTTTTTGGTGAGGGAGGTTACGTCGTAATCGTAGCATCATCTGTTGTCTGCTGTGTGATTTCTCATGCAGTGTATGGTGGCCACTGTACTGTTTGGACACAATACTGGCTTACTTGCATAGTTCTGGTGAATAAAACATGTAGATAGGTATACATAACATATGTAAATAGTATAATAAAAACAATAACAGTATGGTGGGAGGAGAGGTGATGGCGAGTACGATGTTGGAGGACAGAGGGAGGACTGGCTGGCTGGCTGTGGCAGTTCACACTTGCAGAGTTCTGAATGTGTTTATGGTGTATGTATATAGTGTGTGACAGTGTATAGTGTGTAAATGTGTAGTAAATATACATATATGAACATGAAACATTGGTGTGAATAACAGTATGGTGGGAGGAGGGGTGATGGCGAGTACGATGTTGGAGGAGTGAGGGAGGACTGGCTGGCTGGGTGTGGCAGCTCACACTCGTGTAGTTCTGAATGTGTTTATGGTGTGTGTGTGTATATAGTGTGTGATACTGTACAGTGTGTAAATAGATTGCATATATACATAAATTAGCATGATACATTGAAAATATGTATGTGCCGGATATGTATACACATGTGTCATGCACGTAACACAGTGTATTCGGACAGTACGGATGTTCTACTGCCATAATATAGTGTACGTGTTCATTATACACAGGATTGGAATGTAAAAACAAATAAAAGGTATTTGGAACTGTGCGCAAAAAAATGAACAAAAATATATGCGGCAGCACGCGCATCCTGCCCCGGGAGCGTATGCCACGGGCGAACGGGAAATGATGACGTCACGCTCCAACTTACGGACCCCATAACAGCCAAAGTACAATTTCGACTTTCAGTTACTATACACATACTCAGGGAAGGATTTTTGACACTTTCAAAACAAAAAATAATTTTGTCCAGAGGATTTATTTCCTGCACACTGGAGGGGAGGGGGGGTCATATTTGGAAGCCGAGCAGTTGAGGGGTTAACAATCCAACCTGTATGTAATTCAAACCCTCCTAGTTGCAGCTGGCCTCCACAAGATGGCAGCACCCCTAGAAGCTACCAGCTTCATTTCAACAACTCAGACGAATCCACTGTCCTAGACCTTTTTTCCTTACCTACACACCTGGTTGGGGAAAAACGTCCAGGGAGCCACTGAGGCTAACCACAAAAAGGAGTGTCATTATATTCAATGCTGGTTTTCTGGAGCCGAACGGTGACTCCCTGTAGTTAACGAACCATGGAGAAGAAAAAAAATTAGCACTTACCAAGGAGGAGAGCAAAGACCAAAATTATGAAGAATAACAACCAGGACCGGAAACCCAACCAAGGGCAACACAAGTTCAAAGAGGACCAGGTACACTGACACTGACCAGGTATACTGAGCCACCAGGAGCCTGTTAGACCTCCAAAAGTCTGAGCCCAGATATGTGCCCAAAATATTAGAAAACACCACAATCAAAGCTACAAACTTTTTTACAATCTGGACCCAAGGGTATACCATAGGATGGCTAGATGTAATGACACTACAGACAATCTGAGATAGACGAGCTTAGGAACAGGGAACCAAGGAAACCAGATCAATGAACATATCCCTTCAAGAAATCTGTGTAACACACAGGTAGCAACTAAAACCAGCAACCAGACACAACAAGTACTGAACTGTATGAGCTTAGTTATCTGAAGCTCACAAACCTAATATTTTGGTTATCCAGCCAAAATATCATTTGAATAATTTTCTGGCAAAATTTTGCCATATCTGGACAGAAATTTGTATAACCAGAGATTAGGTAACGAAAATTTTTGAAGAACTACACATTATAAAATCTACAGTATCAAACAAGAAGATGAACTACAACAAAGTAAGCTGAGGTTACTCTTTTAAATTAGATTTTTGATTTACAGGGGGTATGGAAATTCAAAATTAAAACTGGTTGTGGTACAAAAAATTGCAAATACTGTATGTCATTTTTGGACTTCCCCAGTAAGAATTTTGCTTATCCAGTAGGGGTTCTTCCGATTTATTCTGCATAAGTTTGCTTAGTACAGTAATGCACCCCTGGCCAACTCTCAACAAGATAGCATGGACCAAAGGGGAAACCACGAACTAATGGGACAAAAGAAAAACCAACACCTGATCCAAAGTCCATGATAGAACAAGAAGAGAATGAACAGGCTGGAGGTGGAGAAGCACACAAGATAACTTTCAGAATGCTGCCAAAGATGTAACTATGCCAAATTCCAATATATATATATATATATATATATATATATATATATATATATATATATATATATGTACTCACCTAGTTGTGTTTGCGGGGGTTGAGCTCTGGCTCTTTGGTCCCACCTCTCAACCATCAATCAACAGGTGTACAGATTCATGAGCCTATCGGGCTCTGTCATATCTACACTTGAAACTGTGTATGGAGTCAGCCTCCACCACATCACTTCCTAATGCATTCCATTTGTCAACCACTCTGACACTAAAAAAGTTCTTTCTAATATCTCTGTGGCTCATTTGGGCACTCAGTTTCCACCTGTGTCCCCTTGTGCGTGTTCCCCTTGTGTTAAATAGACTGTCTTTATCTACCCTATCAATCCCCTTCAGAATCTTGAATGTGGTGATCATGTCCCCCCTAACTCTTCTGTCTTCCAGCGAAGTGAGGTTTAATTCCCGTAGTCTCTCCTCGTAGCTCATACCTCTCAGCTCGGGTACTAGTCTGGTGGCAAACCTTTGAACCTTTTCCAGTTTAGTCTTATCCTTGACTAGATATGGACTCCATGCTGGGGCTGCATACTCCAGGATTGGCCTGACATATGTGGTATACAAAGTTCTGAATGATTCTTTACACAAGTTTCTGAATGCCGTTCGTATGTTGGCCAGCCTGGCATATGCCGCTGATGTTATCCGCTTGATATGTGCTGCAGGAGACAGGTCTGGCGTGATATCAACCCCCAAGTCTTTTTCCTTCTCTGACTCCTGAAGAATTTCCTCTCCCAGATGATACCTTGTATCTGGCCTCCTGCTCCCTACACCTATCTTCATTACATTACATTTGGTTGGGTTAAACTCTAACAACCATTTGTTCGACCATTCCTTCAGCTTGTCTAGGTCTTCTTGAAGCCTCAAACAGTCCTCTTCTGTTTTAATCCTTCTCATAATTTTAGCATCGTCCGCAAACATTGAGAGAAATGAATCGATACCCTCCGGGAGATCATTTACATATATCAGAAACAAGATAGGACCGAGTACAGAGCCCTGTGGGACTCCACTGGTGACTTCACGCCAATCGGAGGTCTCACCCCTCACCGTAACTCTCTGCTTCCTATTGCTTAGATACTCCCTTATCCACTGGA